CGCTCCAGGCGCGTCGAGACGGACTGGTCCAGCACCGCCTCGCCCATCTTCACGACCAGCCCTCCGAGGATCGCGGGGTTCGTGGTGTACCTGCGCAGGTCCATACAGTCAACCCGCATGGTCAGGATGAGCGACTTTCCAAGGATACCCTTGCAGCCTTGCCCCTTCGGCCCATCCTTAGCGACTTTCGCTGGCCAACCTCGTTCGATAAGCGTCAACATGGCCCTCCAAGGTCCTTGCATCCTTACCGCGCATCCTTGCTATACAATTTGACTGTAAGACTCAGAGGGGCACGCCAGTGCCGCGTGCCCTCCCAGGAGCCGCGCGTCCGACCCCGAACAGGTAATGCAAAAACATCTGGTGGCAAGTCGCTTCCCCAGCGGTACGGCCAGACAGCGCCCGTCATGGAGCTTTACACCAGAAGATCTTTCGGCGCGCGCGTCGCCCCTGGAGGGGCGACGCACACACTGTAGAAACATGTTGGGGTGACGCCGAGTCCCAGAAGCCGACCGCCAATGGAAGCACCAAGGATGTACTCAAGAGAGAAGCAGTCTGTGCGCGAATGCATCGAGTAGTAACGGCACGGTGAGCTGTGGGAGGACACGAGCCGTGCTTTCCTACAATCAACTTGGCCACGAACCAACCCCACCAACAATACCGAAACCTACATCATCGTTATCTGCATCGCCGTGAGCGTGTCTACGAGCAGGGGGGCAAGGAGAGCAAAATTGGCCGGGACACGAAACCGATCTGAAGGGGTCGCTATCGCTGCGGGTGTGCTGGGAAGCAGCAGGACATACTACGTAGTACGGTGCGCCCCCCATGCAGATGCACACTCGACCCGAACATACAGCACTGCACTACAAACCTCATATAGCCTTCTAGCCCGTCGTCGTCCACTTCCTCATCGTCGTCGACGTCCTCCTCGTCGCCGTCCTCGTCGTCCTCGTCGTCGTCCTCGTCGTCGTCGTCCTCGCCGCCGGGGCCGCGAACGGCATAGACAAAACGCGCCCGCCACCGGGCATCGCTGTGAGATCTCCGAGCGCGCTAATCGCCCCTGGAGGGGGGGGCTGGCGTACACCTCATGAAGTATTGCTTGGGTGATGCCGATGAAGGGCCGATGCGACGAATGCAGTTTGGGCACTGCACAGTTATCCACCGATTCACCTACCCACCTTTCCATCGACCAGCACATAGCACCCCTGTCAATATGCGCACCCGCGGGCAAGGACGAGGAGCTGGTCGGGAGTCAAACACACACACACACACACACACACACACACGCACACACACACGCACACACATACACACATACACACACATCCGCTGGACCCTGTGAGGACGCAAGGCCGTAACAAAATGCTGCAGGACTGCTGCTTCGCGATCTGTATGTTATGTTTGTCTTGTTTGCCTCGTGTCCATCAAATCCTGTCTCCGTTGTCCTGTCTATCCCTGCAGCTGTGCGGCACCACGTCCAGTCAGGCTTGGATTTCACGGAGCAGCCGAAGTTGGTTAGGTTCTCGTGGACAAACGAGGGGCCTCACTGAGGTCGTCCTGGACTCGCTGGCCTCTCTGGGGTGCGAGAAACCTGCTTCTGGGTTTTCGCATCTCCTGGGTGGCGTCCCCAAGAGATTATTGGGGCAAATTCTCCGAAACTTGTAATCCTTGGCGCTGCGGGTCCAGCTGGTAAACCGCAGAGGGGGGGCTGGCCCGCGAGGGCCACCAGCCCCCCGGAAAGAGGATGGGTACAGTTGCGGGCTGATGTAGCATCAGCACCACGATTACTTCGCGACAGGGATCGACCTAACCGGTCGTTTTCGTTTTCGTCTTGTGCTCGTTTTCCCTTGTTGTCTTCAATCCACTTTTGCTGCAAAACTGAATCGAAACGAAATCGGCCCACGAAATCGCCAAGACACCGTTCAGGTCGAACCCTGCTTCGCAACACCAGATGTCAGGCCAACGGTCAAGAGGCCCAAGAACCATCGACCTAACACCGATGAGGCTGCGGCACGACCGAGGTGGCCCTCAGCCTGTCGAGCTCGATTCTGAGGAGTCCACCTCAGGACGGAGCGCGATGAATTGGCATCGCCGATGCGCCACTGGCTGACGCTCAGTGCCTGTGTTCCGGCGCGCTTGCATTCGCGATGCAATCTTGACATTGTTCCTTGGCCGTCGTATCATGTGGGTGTCCTGCCAATGCGCCATCTAGGTGCGGCGTCTTGCGTGCGTGCGATGCGCCAGTGGACTGCCAACACACACACACACAATTCATGGGCGGCGTGAGCCGCACATGCCGCCGAACAAGAAGCTGATGGGCCACCTTTGATTGACGCATCCCTGCGCCTGCCCCGACCGCCCCCTGAAATTGCCACGTTCGTGCTTGCTGAGGTCATGAGTGACAGCTGGAGAGAGGCAGCCGGGTCGGGGGAGCGGGAATGGGAACCTCGAGTGTAATGTGCCCGCCAGATTGCACTCACGATAGAGATCGCGATGCGATCGACCATCTGAAGGCATTGGGAACTGGGAAGCGTACAAGGAGGGACTTTTGGCGGAATGCTGGGGGCGCGGGCAGAGGCGGATGAGGAGGGAACGGAAGGAGACGGCACTCCTCGCTCGCTCTGCCTGTTCTTCGTTGATCCTCGACGACGACAGCGACGACGACAGCGACGACGACAACGGGACGACGACGACGAGGACGACGACGGCGACGACGATAGCGCGTCCCGGAGGCCTCACGCGGCAACCTGAAACCCGAGGTACGTCGGATCCACGCCGGCTGTGCACTGTGAAGATTCAGGTCGGATCTCCGTCGGAACACCGCCGCGGGAACGTCGTCCCATGTCTGACGGGGCAGACGTGTGGACTAGACAGTACAAACATTGCTCTCCGCGCGAGGCCTCCCGGATGTTCCTCACAGGAGTCGAGTGGAGCGAAGTGGCTGGGAGAAGGAGGGGGGGATGGAACAGCACGGGTCAGGAGAAAGACAGGAATTACAACGAAAGCGGAATGGAATGGAATTAGAACGAGGGCGGGCATGAGAGCGGAACGGAATTAGAGCGAGGGCGGAGAGGAGGTGCGGGGAGGAAAGGAGGTAGAAGAACACAAATGGGGGAAGCAGATGAGCGTCCACCCTCTGCCATTGACGAGGCCCTCCTAAAGAGGCGGGCACTCCATGAGGAGTGTGGAGCCCTTCTCGGCGCGCTTCTCCATGGCGGCCTGCGCCGAGCTCTCTGTGGGACAAACCGGCCGCCGCTTTCCCATCCACACCGACGATCCCCGCAAGGAGTGGCACCAGAGGGCGTGGGAATTCACACACCGAATGGTCACCTCAAGTCATGAAAACTGGCAACGAGTTGTGTTACTTTTACTGCCTGGTGCCAGTCTTCGGTACGAGTCAGTGATCATATGATTCAAAAAGCTCACCTCCACTGGTGATCCTACACTACATTGTAACATGCTGCCCCTATCGCTGCAAACTTGCAAACGAACGGCGCGAAACCAAAAACACAGACACACACCCGCACTGTCAAACATATTGATCACAACTCTTCCTTGGCTTCCCCCGATGCGGAAGCATCTGGCTTACCGTTGTCTTCTGGGGCCGGAGTTGGCACCAAGGATACGTCCATTTTAGAAATGTCGGGGGGCAACTCTTTCACTCTGAAGGCCGGGCCCGCCTTTCTGTTCTTCGGGATCTTCGGTCTCTTGGTAGCACATCCACCGACCATATTTGCAGCCGCAGCATCATCCGATGTGCACATCTTTGCGGTCAAGGCTTTTGCGTCCAAGGGTTGTTTCTTCTTGAAAGCCTTGTAGAGAGCTGATGCGACCTCAATGTCAGCTTCCTGCAGCACGTCTTTGCAAGCCTGCTTGATCGTGTTGCATTCAACCTCGCACTCGCCTTTCTGCGAGTGCCGCTTAAGGTTGATTGCCTTACCATCACTACTCTCCACCATATCATACTCAGTGATCCAGGAGCCCGCCTCGGAGGCTGTTTCGCACATCTCAGCCACTTTGCCAGCGATGGCCTCCTCACTTCCTGTGATCGCTGAGCCCCATTTGGACGACTCCGCATGCAGTTTCCTAGCTAATGCTTTGCAAGTTGAACAAACAATGAACTTAACATCGGACTTGACGGCTGGGAAAGGCTCTGGAGGCGGTTCACCACCACCGCCACCGCCGCCCATCCCAGGCATACCACCCATGCCGCCTCCTCCACCCATGCCTCCCATCATAGATGCAAGGTCACCCATGCCACCCATGCCACCACCTCCTCCACCCATACTGCCCATCATAGACGCCATGTCACCCATTCCACCCATGCCGTTTCCACCCAAGCCGCCCATCATGGAACTCATATCTGGCATGTCATCCTGCGTCCGTGCGAACGATAAGAACGAGGTCAACAACACTGCCCGCATTCTTGCCAGCGCTCAACACTTGATCCCGGCAAAACTGTAGTGCTCGCGTTTGACCTCCACTCGAGCCAGGATAGTTTGAGCCGAACTGGCTACGGACCGCTTACAATTGCAACCCGAATTCTCACACTGCTTGCGGGTGCGCGTTGCCAACCCGCCGAGGGAGAGATAGGCTGATGGAGTGAGGGTGTGGTAGCCGCTAAATTCGAAAGTGGCGACCACAAGCACACGTCGCAGACGCACAGGGACGGCGAGGTCCCGTTCGGATCTGCGTGGGGCCCCGCCGCGCGGGCTCCCCCCCTGCAGGCAGGCGCATGCAGGCACAGGCAGGCGAGAAGGGGAGAGAGGGCGGGAGGGGAAAGGGGAGGGAGTTGGCGACCCCGCTGCTGTACTTAAAACCAAAACCCAACCAGGTGACGGCTGGGAAAAGACTGTGCAGTTCATGCTGGGGCAGAATCTTGGGTCACGATCGGGGGGGGGCGCGGGCACGTTGCACGATGTGCTGGTAAGGGCGGTGGGGGCGCCCGCATGTGGCCTGCTGCGTTCAGGGCGCGCACGCCTGTCAGACCAACATCGAATTACATTGCGACGTACCGGACCCATCGGCACCAAGGGATGATGTAAGGCGTGCTGACAGTAGTGTGACAGCAACGCTGCAGGAGACGGTGCACGGCGGATACTTATATCGTGCGACATGTGCATGGCCAACTCGCAAAGCAGAGGTATGTGAAGGAGAAGTAAAGGGAAGACATCGGGGTGGAAAAACAATCACCTCGGCAGAAGCAACGGGATGATGGAGCACGGAGCATGGGGGGAGACGCAATCAGACGATGAAGTGATGCGTTTTTCCATGCCAGAACGTTCAGCACCTGCGCGACCAGCCCCCTCCCAGGGATGGCGAGGTCCCGTTTGGATTTGCGCGGGACCCCACTGTGCTAGCGGCGCCCCCAACAACCCTCGAAACTGGCGACAAGCTCACACTGCGCAACCCCCCCAGGGATGGCGACGTCCCGTTTGGATCTGCGTGGGACCCGACTGCGCTGGCCTCCCCAGCAGCCCTCGAAAGTGGCGACAGTTTCATAATTCGCAACCCCACAGAGATGGCGAGGTCCCGTTTGGATCTGCGTGGGGACCCACTGTGCTGGCTCCCCCAGCGACCTTTGAGAGACACGTTGCAGCCCCAAGGGATGGCGATGTCCCGTTCGGATCTGCGTGGGACCCTACTGTGCTGCCCCCCAGCAGCCCTCGAAAGTAGCGAAAATCTGACACTTCGCAGCCTCCCAAAGATGGCGAGGTCCCATTTGGATCTGCGTGGGACCCCACTGTGCTGCCCCCCCCCGGCAGCCTTATAACGTGGAGGCAAATTCGCACATCAGCCCCCACAGGGATAGCGAGGTCCCGTTTGGATATGCGTGGGCTCCCCCAGCAACCCTCGAAAATGGCGACGCGATCATACTTCGCAGCACCCCCAGGGACGACGAGGTCCTATTTGGATCTGCAGGGGACCCCACTGCGCTGGCCCCCCAGCGGCCCTGAAAATGGCGTCAATTTCATACTTCGCAACCCCCAAGAGGGACGCGAGAGGAGAGAGCCGATATTAGAGCGGGGGGGGAGCGAGGAGGAGAAGGAGAAGGGAGTTGGCGACCCCATTGCTGTATTCAAAACGAGAACCCAACCAACGGAGCGTTTGAAACACATGCTTTCGAGGTACAATCTGAACCATGCGCGGGCACCCCGCGATCACGGTGCATTGGTTGTTGACTGGGACGGCGGGGGTGCTGGCATGTTGTCTGGTATGTACAGGCCACCCAGACGCTATGATGGCCACCCCGCCGCGATTGCGCACTGGTTTTCGACAAGGGTGGTGGGGGCCGGCACGTTTCCCGAGTGTACTGCCACGTGCGCAGGCGCTACTGGCACACCATGCGCGTGCCAGGAACATGGCGCACCTGGCGTGGCTGGGGTATGGCGCACGTGGATACGTTGCGCACCCGGCGCACCAGGCGTGCCCGGCAATATTGTCCCACAGGGGTGCCTGGCGCACCTGGCGCGCGTGGCGCGCCAGGCGCACCTCGCCCAAACGTTGCGCACATGGGGTCCGTTTTGGTTCCCAGTTTAGCTGTCTACCCATCGACTACTGCCAAACACGATGTGGCTCGGGTGCTACTTCTGTGTTGGGAGGGTGGGTGGGAGTCACCGAGACGGCTTGCGGGCGGGGAGGATGTCTTGACCCCTCCCGCAATCCCCTTACCCCTGGACCTGGACGGGGGGGGGCCCGGGTCGTCAGAGCGTCCAGAACCGCCTTGGCGAGGAGGCCACCATCATTGGTTGTATTACGGTGTTGGCCACATGCTGGCCTCCTGTGGGGGGGACCCAAAGGTACTACGGCCCCTCCTTTGATCGATCTCCTCCTAGATGGCCTCCGAGGCTCCCAAAGGTGGCCCAAGGCGGCCCCGATGGGTGCCCAGGAGGCCCTAAGAGGCCCCGAAGACGCCCCCAAGATGCCCCCCCAGAGGCTGCCAAGAGACCCCCAAAAGGTCCCAAGAGGCTCCCCAGATGCAACCAATACGCCCCAACAGGCCCGAAGGACGGCCAAGAGACAACCAAGACCCCCCAAAGGACTCCAAGAAGCTCACGGACGAAATCCGAAGAGACTCCGAGAGGCATCCAAGAGGCTTCTGGCCTTTTCTGCTCGCCCTCCCAATTCTCCTCCTCAGCTTGCTCATCCGCCTATTACATCTCATTCCTCCTATATCCGCCCCCTCCCCCTTTCCCTCCTCCTCCTCCTCCTCCTCCTCCTCCTCCTCTTCCTCCTCCCCCTCCTCCTCCTCCTCCTCCTCGTCCTCCTCTGACCGCCCTGTAACCGCAGGACACCCCCAACGTAGAAGTATTCAGATCAATTCTGGTGTCTGGCTCATCTGCGAACTGTGCACACCCTCTGGCATTTTATGCACCAACGCGCGCATGCGAGGTATAACGGGGCGACGGCCGCGCTCCACTTTTCAAGTGATGTTGTTACGCAATGTCCCCGTTGATCACATTGCAGCGCGATGCGCAGCGAGATCACGGCGGGCGCCGCTTGCATGGACGCGCGCCGATTGACTCTTTCGTCCCAAAACGTTGTTGACGTTGTTGGAGCACATCTACACAAGGCGTGGGTATGTGGTCTCGTTTGTCCTTATGATGCGTACGTGTAGGTGCTGTTCCCCAATCTTGTTCGCGCTCCTGCCCCGAACTGTGGCGGCTGTGCGTTGTCAAACTTTGGCAGCGCTTGCGCCGCCACCCAATGAACGCGCCGCTTGTCCCCGCGAGCCCATCCGGCTACCCGCGCCACGGTTGCCTTGCGTTGGGCCGACGCTCGATCATCCCGCGCGACGCGTTGTGACATATGCAAAGATCGCGTAACCAAGCTTGACATGGCCGGGACTAGTGCCATCTGTTCCGGTCACTCATTACTGGTTCCGTCGATGCTCCGAGGGGGAGGGGGGAGACGGGGTTGGGCAAGGAGGAGAGGGGGAGGAGCACGACACAATTGACGAATGATGGAGGAGGAGGATGAGGAGAACGACGACGACGAGGAAGGACGGAGGAGGGAGACGGAGGAAAGAGGTAGAGTGAGGGGGGGCAGGACGTGGAATGATGCGGCTTGGGCGATGCATCTCGCCCGCTCGTTCGGGAAAGTCGCCGTCGCCGCTGCCTTTGTCAGAATCGCGCTGGGCCTTCTCGGGGCTTCGTAAACCACTTTGGGCGCTTTTCGGACGCACCCTGACGTTTTTGTCTTGGGTCTCTAAAAATTGATTGGGTCTTCTGCGTCTGCCGCGGGATCCTTCAATTTTGCCGTCCAGGATGTTTCTAGAAGGTGCCCAGGCCAATTCAGGGACCTCTCAGGGGTTCTGGGCTACCCGAAGCCTGAAGCGGGCCCTTTTGGACGTCCGTCGGGCATGTTTCGGGTTGTCTTGGCGGCCGCGGGGGTTGTCCTACTTACTTATTGGAAACTAATCGGGTGGCGTTCTGAGCCGTCTCGAGAACCCGATGGAAGCGCGAAGAAAGCGGTGCCAGAATTCCTCGGCCTTTCGAGAGCAGCCTCAGAAGCTGTAAATGGCCAAACCTGCTCAGTAATACGACTGTGGCTGAACAGTCGCGCCTCTGGCTTTAGAGACAAGCACTGAAAGTTCTGAGCTGTTTGGGGAGCTTGTTGGGTCGCGTTGGCAGCATCCTGGGAACCATTCAAGCCTTCACGGGACCGTCTCTCGGAAGCGCCTCGGGCAAACTATGGGTCGTCATCAGGCATCCTGGGTGTTTTTGGAACGCCTCCTCGAGTCGTTGGTGGCCTCTGTGGCGGCCTCGCGGGTTAATTAGAAACGCGTCGGGGTTATGTTTGGCAATTTGGGGAGCTCGTTCGGAAAAAACATCGACGGGGTAGCGCGGAACGCCTTGGTCTCTGGGGACCCTCTGGGCAACAACAGACACCAACAACATACGTTGTGCTACGGCAGGGCTTACACGTCGGAATTTCTGGCCTTGCAAGTGATACTTACATGAAGCATTTGAATCGTTTGGGGGGCAGGCCTCGCCTTGGGGATGAATCGGACGCCACCAAAAAGCGCCGTCACCTGGAATATCGCGCACTCGGGACGGCAGTCGCCAAAGCGCGCAACGTTTCGGCTTCGCGCTCGTCAGGAGCAAGATACTCGGCAGAGCGACGTCCCTGGGCGCTGTTAGTTTGCGTGATGTTCGGGCTTGCCGGATGGCGCCGAAGGGCCTGGGGCGACGGCGATGGCTGATTTGCGGTAATTCGGCGGTCCCCACATCTGAATTTCAGATTGGCCCTATCTGAAATTTAGATTGCGCCTGTCTGAATTTCAAATTGCTCCCCTGGGGGGCTGCCCCGAGGCGTTCTGCTTGGTGCCTCCACGCTGAAATCATTCACAATGGCCGAATGGCATTTTTTTCTGAAAGTGAGATTGGCCTTTTCTGAAATTCAGATTGGGCCCGTCTGAATTTCAGGTTGGGCCGTTCTGAAATGGGCCGCCGCCTCGGCGCCGAATTCGGCCCAGGTGCCGTTCCTAGGAATGCCTGGCGCCTTTTTGCGAGCGCCCAAAAGCTGTCCGCGGAGATACGGGAGGAGGAGGACGACAGGCTTGTAAGGCATTCCACGACTATCCTGTGATGTTGGGTCCCCGTTTTGAAAAAACAGCGCCCCGCGTCTCCTCCTCCCCCTCCTCCACCTCTCCTCCGCCCCTCCCCCATATCCAGTTCGTCACGCCTCTCGAGAAGATCGTGGCCCCATTAGGGAGCTCC